TATCTATCTATCTATCTATCTATCTATCTATCTATCTATCTATCCATCTATCTATCTATCTACCCCGCTCCTGTGTTTTCGGCAGTTCGAATTTCTATATTATGACTCTGCTTTACTCGTGGATCCCCATTTTAGGCCAAGCCGACCTCTGTCATGATCCTAACCCCACGATATCCCCATTCCCTCAGTCATTTTAGTGCTTTTTGAGTGGCAACCGAAAGGCGCGCGCACGCACAAAACACACGCACACACACACACACACACACACACACACACACACACACACACACACACACACACATGCGTGTGCAAGCACAAACTAACATGCACACTCGGGCACGTGCATACCCCGGTTATTTTAAGGACGAAAACGTGGTTTTCAGGCATGAATCTGGTTTGAGAGGAAAATGTTGAAACTGAAGAAAAAAGGGAAAACAAACTGAAATCCAGGCAGGTTCGAACTCCAAACATCCATCTGTCGACCAAGCTTGAATTCAGCTGCTCCACAGCGGTCAACAGGTCTAACAAGATCTGAGCCTAAGGGGCAGCTGATAGGAACAACTTCCAGCTTTCAAATAATTATGTATGCCGTATAGTGCTGGGCGGCTAGGTTCCCGATTATGAAAGCTAGGAATCGTAAGAATCGACTCCGAACCCAATTACTTACATTCTTATGATGTGATTTTTTCCCCCCTGTGGTTAACTGGTTGATGCCGAACATCTTCAGGATTTAGGATAACCTTGATTTCGGAACACTACGAAGCATCAACTTCTTTTTTTTTCAAAAATACATTATTTTTCAAAAAGAAGATTTTAATGATAAAAATAACTGGCAACCGTTGGTCTACGAAACAAGGAGACGGAACTTAACTTCCTTAGTATTAATCGCGGGAATCGGTTCCGGAATCGACTCTTCGCACAGCTCTAATGCCGTATCTTGACTTTGGTTCCAGCAAACGGTGCGTCGGCCTAGAGGGAAATTTGAAACCTCCCAATATCGAAGGAGAAACACGATAGAATGTGTACTCGTGGGGGTATTAATACGACCAAACTAATGCGAAACTACATATTATGTATTTTAAAACTAATCACTACTTCAGAATTACATAGTTCTATCTACACGGTACCTAGTTTGGAGAATTAGAAATTTGACGCCAAAGATTTTAAGTTTCACATCATGTCAAGCTATTTCGAACGAAGTCCTGGAATATCTTGAAAACTACTCGAAAGAATCTTACGAGCAAATAAAACATATACCTTCTGACCTCATGGTCTTAGTAGCTCAAAATGGCAATAAAATATCAGATAGAACTGTGTAGTTTTGAGGTATCGTAATGCGAACATACTTTTACACTCTCTGGAACTCCTGTCGAGGAGCTAAGGCAGCGATTCTTCGGGAACTACCACTCTACTGTTTTTATCATTATATCTTATTATTATCTTTTTT